ACCCTAACCTGAATCTTATAGACCCATATCATTGCTTTTATGTGTCCTTAAAACTCTAGAGAGGATGATTAAGTTTAGGTTTGAATGGTGGTTAATGCAACAAAAGCTTCTTCCAGAAAATCAGTATGGTTTCAAAAGGGGTTTTGGTACAATGGATGTCTTAAGTACCTTTCTGGTAGATATTCAAAACAATTTCTCAAGAAACAATTATTTACCTGTCCTTTTCCTTAACATGGAAAGGTGCATATGGTGCTATGTCTTTGCCACTCCTGCTAGATAAAATGATTGAATTATTTTATATTCCAAAACAATTTGCAATCAGTATAATAAATTTTTACACAACAATTTACTTGTGAAAAAATCAAACTGTCCTAGGCCCTAGACTTAATAATAAAGGGTTACCTCAGGGATCTGTTTTGAGCCCTGTTTTATTTAATATCTACACAACTGATTTACATAATATTCAAATAAGTAATACATTATCATTTAATATTGTACAATATGCCGACGATTTCTGTATTTATTTTGAATACAACAAAAATTGAAACCGCCTTAGAAAACTCAAAAAATATTTATTTAGTTTTACGAAGATGGTATGTATTTTTACAAGACAATTCACCTAATATGAATAACAACATGTTTGGACCCGACGATTTCATGATTCAAAATGAAGCGAGGTACTTGGGTATGATTCTGGACAGGAAGCTGACGTGGAAATCCCATATTGATAGTACGCTGAATAAGTGCAATATAAGAGTAAATTTTTTAAAATCGGTTAGTAAGACTTGGTGGGGTGCTGATAATGAAATTGCTCAATTATTTCATAGAGCTTATATTCGCTCTATCTTGGATTACGGATGTACATTATATGGTTCTGCTAGTAATAATCTATTAAACAAAATCGATATTTTTCAGAAGTCTGCTCTAAGGACAGTCTATTCAACTCTTACACGTAGAAGCTCTGGAACCTTCTTCGGGAATAAGAAGAAATTATCTCAGTGGAAAAATGTTAATTAAAATCTATACCAATAATCCTAAATGATTTCATCAGATTATTATATTAAATAGTTATGATTTAACTAATAAATATTGGGTTAAAAAAATCCCCACCCCTTTGTCTCACTTTACAAAACAATAGCAATATTGTAAGTGCTCTGTATAAAACAACCCACCACCCTGGAATTAATGATTTTTTTAGCTTTTATTCAGACATTTCCTTTATTAAACCAAACTATCAAGAAAATATATCTATAAGTAGCAATATATTACTCTCTATTTCAAGTAATTTTGAAGATGCCTTATTATATACGGACGCGTCCATATCAGCTAATGGCGTAGGCTCTGCTTTCTTTGAACCTAAAGAGCACATAGAAAAATCTTTTAAAATTAGACAAGAATGTTCCCTCTATACTGCGGAAGCTGCGGCTATCTATGAAGCACTTATTTACGCCTCTTCCTGTAACAGAGAATCGATAGTTATTGTATCAGATTCCCTCTCTGTTTTAACATCTATTAAAAAAAATGGGCTTCCTAATACATCGACTTGTCCTTTTGTAATAAAAATTAAGAAACTTATCGAAACATTTTTAAAAAGAGGCCATAACGTGCATTTTATTTGGATTAAAGCTCACATTGATCTAAAGCACAACGAACATGTAGATTTTTTGGCCAACATGTTCTAATACGTCATACAATTTATCTGTTTCTGATGTTACTGCAATATTAAAAAGAAATCATTTCAATAAATGGCAACACTTGTGGCAGGAATATTGTTTTACAAATCCAACGAGGTATATAAAAAAAAGGTATATAAAAAATTCGCCATACATTACCGTCTCGATGATGGTGGGTGAGGTTTTCCGGGTTCTCCTCACCTGTAAGTCAAATGGCACCATCAATCATCTTTAAGTCGCCCCGGAGCGCCACGGCAAATAATAATAATATCCGTCCCTTCCCCTACACAAGTCGTTCAGTCGACTTCAGGGGTTGAAATTCACTCGTAAGGGGGTGAATTAGGGAGAGTATTATTATTATTATACTACTCTTTAGTTAAACATTCCTAAGATAAAATACCGCAAAAGTACATATCGACAATCATTAGGATGAGATTTGGTCATGCCTGTTATCCTAGCCATTTATACAAAATTAAAGTCTCTGAAAGTAACCAATGCGAGACGTGTAATGAAAAAGGAGATCTAGACCATATCTTCTTTAATTGTACTAAAAACAAAAAATTCTCTGACAAGCTATATAACGACCTGCTTAAATGCAAAATATGCTCCCCTTGGAATATCCAAAGTTTATTGTCCTCCAATTTCACAAACATTTATGACTGCTTGATTAATTTTTTAATGGAATCAGGTATACGCTTGTGATTAGTAATTCTCTTAGACTCGTTACCTTTGTTTTCTTTCCTATTGCTTTATTTTATCCCCTTACCGTGACCTAGTGTATGTCTGTTTTTTTTTATTGCCTTGATGGGTCCCTAGGCGAGAAGCGAGTGTCTCCGTTTAATCCTCTTGTTATTTGAAGTTAAATATTTAATGTTTTCTCTTTTTAATTCATTATGTGTTTCTTAATTTACCTCTTCCATTTTGTGACTGGCTGTATGACAAAGAGTCCATGCCAAAAAAAAAAAACATTACTTTCTACGTCCGTTTTAGCTCTTTTTGTGCCTTATCAGGTGGTAGTGGTAAATCAGCTACTTACAAATCTTCAGATTCTATGTATATTACTAATAATCCTGACAGATTTTCTTAAAAATGAGTCAATTGTATGAAAGAATGTTTTATTATCTAGAAATCTTTGGCATTTGCAGAAATGTTCCCATGTTTTTGAGTATCCAATGGAAATAGCAATTACTTTTTGTTTTTGAATATTTCCTAACAGCCCAAGAGCCCACTGCAAATTTTAGACTTCTGATATGAAAATTAAATATGCCACGAAGACATGTAAAAATATCGTCGTTTACCAAACAACACCTGTACCAATCACTGTCTTAGCAAAGTAGTTAAAAAAGTATATTTAAAAATCACATAAAACATGACAGCGATAATTTTGTTTGACCTGAAAGATTTCCAGAACTTATTCAAATATTTTTTGAGTACATCGTTAAAGGGGAACATTGTCTTTCCCTTAACGTTTCACAAAAAAAACATCTATCCATGATTAACAGGTAAATATCTTTAAAAATGTGAATCAATTTTTTCTGTTTAAAAGAGTTTATAATTATTATTGACTATCTGTGCAAATGGTTACCATCCTTCATCCTTTCACACACATAGTTTAAAAGGTAGGCAAAAATAATAATAATTCAGCAGGTTTAAAAGGTAGGTTCACAATGAATAACGATTGCAAATTTCAGAGGAACCAAAATTATCGCTGTCATGTTTTTTGTGATTTTTTTAATTATAAAATATTTTTTTGCACCACTTTGCTCAACATATTGATTGGCATAGGTGCCGTTTGGTAAAGTACAATGTTGTTACATGCCTTTGGGGCATATTTCATTTCGTTATCATGTGAGGGACGAATTTACACTGGGCTCTCTTACTATAACTATAAATGGTATTTCAGTATTTGAACATTTGAGCAATGCTTCCCTCCCTAAGGACTGACTAATTGTAAGTCAAAATTACATTATGAAGGTACGATAATGGGAAAAAGTTACTTCACATGGCTCTCCTAAACTACTATTGGCTCTTTAGAAATCTAAACTGAGAATAATCACCGAAGTTTAACGAGTTAAACTCGCAGCTCAATGCACCTATGAAGGACAAAAGATCATAATAAATGCAATGTTAAATTATTTTAAGGCTAAACGACCTCTTTGTAGTCTATAATCTACAGTGTTTGACGAACCTTGAGTTTCAGTAAATCACATCCTTTTTAATAAAAGAATATTTTCTTTATTAAATTTTGTAACATAAAATATAACCACACATTATTTTTTTTTAGGTTTTATGAAAATAAACGATTATTAAAAGCAGTAATAAAGACATTCCGGTTACGTTTTTACGGCTTAACGTTAAGTAAAAGTTTTTAGTTTTATTACTAGAAAGTGTTGAAAATGAAATTGTAAATACCAAGTTATTGGTGAAAATTAAATTATTCATTGAAAAGAGATTGAAAGTACCGAGCCTTGAAGTTAATGCCCTTCTGAAGGTTATAAATATTATTTTTTAATTTTAATTCTGAAAAGAATCATTACCTTAGGAAATTACTTAAGATATTTAGAAGAAAAGAAAAAAGTTCATTTAATTATAGAATTGAATGAAAATGTAATATGTAAATCAAAATTGAAATTAATTAATTATTGATTGTTTTATATCCTTAATAGAATAGGTTGGTCATATAAGTGTTTTGATAAAAATAAATATAGTAGAAACCGGGATAGTCGGGGTCAGTAGTGCAGTTACGTTGCACTTTCTTCACAACCACTTAGATTATTTTCTCGCTAATCTTGGTGATCTAAGTGAAGAACAGGGCGAGCGATTCCAACAGAACCTTCGTACGATTGACATATAAAGTGACATTTTTGTAATCGCGTAAGGGTTAAAATGATCTACTTACCTCAACCAGTTGCATAATGTTGAATATTATGAAACTGGTTACGAACAATTCATTATGTCACCAGTTGCTAAAAATAAAACATAAAAATAAACTCTTTATTGTTTAAAAATCACTATTATATAAATTATTATTGAAAGTTTAAATCAAAGAAGAGCAGGTTGACTTATAAAAATAGAATTTGGTTAAACTTACAATCTAGCAAAAATATTGTTTTGGTTCTTATTTTCAATTCTTAATCAGTACAAAATAACTAAAACACAAAACACGACAAAATAACCCACTTTTATCAAAAATAAATCGCTTTAACCCTGCTACTGCACACTGGGGTCCAGAAAACCCACGTGAACTTTATATTCTATCTTGTGCGCAGTGTTTCGTTTGTGACCTTGGGCCAGTGCCATGTAAATTTAGTTAACAGTTGTACACGAATGAGGCAGGACGCAAAACATTTTATCGCTTATAGGTAAGTGGTAAAATTTGATTTTAGCTGCTCCTGGGTTACTGAAACCCCAGTGTGCAGGATTAAGTTACATATTTTCTATTATTTTGTAGGAAGATGTCGAGGGCTAAAAGGAATGATAATCGTCCGGTTACAGATAAGGAACTGCATGAGATTGTAGATTATCTTGGGAACAGTCCAAATCATGAAAATGGATATGAAATTGGAGAATTTTCGGATAGCGAAAACGATTATGAGACGGAGGAGGATGAGGAAGACGATAAACAAAGTGCTTGTGAAAGTGAACGGGGTGATGAAAATAAACAGAACAGTGACAATGAAAATGAAGAACACAGTGAAAAGGAAAGTGAACAAGCTGGTGAAAATAACAGTGAACAAGCTAGTGGAAATAACAGTGAACAAAACAATGCTCATGAGAATGAACAAAGCAATGAGCAAGAGAGGCCTCCAAGAGCGACGAGAAATAAAAGCGTTCTAAGAGGTAAAAATAACCACCTGTGGTCATCTGTAGTTCCTCAGAGGAGAGGTTTTTTGAGAGCTGACATTGTTTTACATTTGCCCGGCCCTAAAGGTGATGCCAGAAAAGTAGAAACCCCTTTAGAAGTTTGGAATTTGATTATCAGTGAAGATATAATTGAAACAATTACCATACGCACCAATGAACAAATTAAGAGAAACCACGATGAGACTATTGAACTCAGCTACACCAAAACCACAAATGTTATTGAGGTAAGAGCTTTCATTGGTCTTCTATATAGCGAGAGCTTAGCGTATCATAAATTGCAGCACATAAGAATTGTGGTCCCTTGCTTTTGGGATTGGAATTTTCCGGCAAAGATTTCAGTTTTTAGCTATGATAACAAGGCTGATAGACATATACGACGTCAGATTAATAAATTTACTCCAATTATAAAAATATGGGATGTATACATAAGCAACTGCAAGGCATACTACACACCCTATGAATATTGCACAATAGACGAACAACTGATGAGTTTTCGTGGCCGTTGTAGCTTCCGCATATATGGCCAGCAAACCCGGTAAATACGGCTTAAAAATACTAACGCAACCAAAGGTGGTACAAACACCTTCGATCAGTTGTGCCATTCATATACCACAGCACGAAAAACAAATAGATGGTCTATGCGAGTGTTTTATGGTATGCTTGATGGAAGTGGTATCAATTCGATGATTTTACTTACCTTCGCTAAGGGAGATTGGGCAGGAAAACAAAATCGGACACGCAGGAATTTCCTAAAAGAGCTGGGAATGTCCTTGGTAATACCATTTCTTAGAGAACGACTACGGTGGCCAACGCTTAGAAGATCACTGCGTCAAAAGATAATGGACGTCTTGAATGAGCCTGTGCCAGATCCTTAATCAAATGACGAAAAGTTCGTTGCAGTTTTAGCGATAGGAAAAAAGACAAAAACAAATACGCATTGTAGCGTGTGCCATAAATCGTTTTGTAATGAACACAGGACAATAGGAGCTATGAGACTGATTTATCAGCCTAATTTATTAGACTGACTAAGAAAAACTTATGCAATTATAATTTTTTTAATTGCACAATAAAAAAGAATGACATTTAGTTAAAACGTTTTATATACTTAGAATTCGAAAATTTTAGTTTTTGTTATTTTTTGTGAATTTCTAAAAAATCATGCATTTTTTTTCCTCTTTTTAATTTTATATTTTTAAAATAAAAACATTTGTTCAGACTACTTTTTAATATGTTATATGCTCTCCAAAATAATCACTTTAACCATTCCATGTGTAAAAACAATAAAAAAAAAATATTACCAACTTGAAAAAAACTCATTTTATTTATTGGGTTATTGAGACCCCAATGTGCAGTTTGTGTCTTGAAAAATAAGTGTGCAGTAGCAGGGTTAATAAGCAATATAAACAACAAACTACAAGTCGTTGAGAATAATTAATTAATAATCTGATGTTCTACTCATCAATAAAATGATGCATTTGCAACTAAAAATACAAGAAATTAATAATGGTTGCCTAGATGTCAGTAATTTTTTTACCAAAACACAATTAGTCAAAATTAGAAAAAATATTGTATGTAACACGTTACGAAATGGTTGCATAAATAACTATTAATTTAAAGAGTTTCATATTTTTTCTAGAAAGTGTTTTATTTCATATACTCGTAGTTTAGAAAATATATTATCAAGAGAATTTAAAAAATTTTACTTTTTCACTTTTTAAAAAATTAAATTTTTTTGTGTTTGTTCAGATAACCAAATCCTTTGGTTTCTGAATCGAAACAAAGTAAAAACAGTGATATAACTGGTGTTTGAATCTAATATTCACTTATAAATTGACTTAATTAATACGAATTAATATTTTTATTACACTAATTAAAAGAAAAAATCCTAATTTTCGAACATTCCCCGTACTTTCCTTTGTATGTAATAAACGCATTTTTTTTCTACTTTATTTCTTGATTATGAAATCGAAAGTTGCGCCTCGGTAAAAGTTTAATTAATTAATTTTAATATTTTGTGGGTTTGGCGTAGGTGACTTAGATAATTTGATTCTTGCGTTTTATTTTTTATTCAGCGAATCGTCTAAGAAATTTAAATTAAATTAATAAAAACAGCCTAGGACTTATGATTTTTTTCATTAGTAACAAAATGAAATAAATAAAATATTTGTAATTTTTTTTTTAATGAAATAAATGAAATAATTGAGATTATGTTGGTCACTTAATTGAAATTGATTAACTACAAATCTGTTAGAAGTATCTGCAAATTTACATATCTTGGTAGGGAGTTTAGAGCCTATATAGAATTTAAAATGAAACAAAAACCGTATATAATTGTGCCTGAAGTATAATGTTAAAATTGCCAAAGTATTGAAGACCTGTACCCTGTACCGATTTGATACAAATATTAAGAGTTTAAAATAAATACATGAACATAAAAAACAGCATTAAAATTAAATTTGGCTACTGACGAGACGAACTTGACAGAAAACGTCTTTATTTGCAATACCATCGTATTAATTCGGTTTGTTTGGGTGGTCTTTGTCTCCAATAAAGCTGTTTGAATCAAAAAATAAAAATTTAATTGATAAATTATGAAAGATTGAGTGGTGTCTAAAAACATTATTTTTTCACTCATTATGTATTATATAATATTACTATCAACAGTAAACCTAAACAGAATACAAGTTACCTATCTATAATTTTAAGGTTATTTATTAGATATATGATAAATAATTAAATAATAAAAATGAAAAAGCATTTAATAATTTAGTAATATTGAACGTAGAATCGTTAGATCCTTTTTTATCACATAAAAATATTTTGTTTTTAGACTCTAAGTGTGTCCGCGGATGGGGGTAACCACTATTATATTTTTTTTTTAGACTTTACATTATTTATAAACAACTTTATTTTATAAAATTGTTGTAAAAAATAATAAATAATGTCACTTATCCCTTGAAACTTTTTCCTACCTTCCTAACTTATTAACACACTGTACATGTGATCTAATTTTTTTTTTTCGTCAATTCATTTTCTCATCAAGCGGGACTATTTATAAAGAATGATTTTTGGACGTAAAATTAGGTACCCCCATCAGCGGACACAGGGTATATTTAGATCATGTTACTGAGGCCCTTCCTATGGGGCCGATAGTATTGCATTCGTGCAGACGAAAAAAATTTCTTACCCCTATTTTTTGGTTGATAGTAAAGGTGAAATTTCTAAGGCGGGTTGCGACAATCATACTTGCAACCATAGCAATTTTGGAGGCTATTTTTATTCGTAATTAGTCGCCAAGCCTGCCAATTTATGAAAAATATATAAGCAGTTTCTTAAAAATGACTTTTTTATGGTGGTGCTAACTTAAGCGTACTACTATTTCGCCCCTAGCCACAAAAACACCTTCATCAAATTTACTGGCTCTCTGTCGCAACCCCATAGAATAATTAAGCGGCCATTTTATTTGGCAAAAATCAGAATAATGCTTGGCTGTGCCTGTCAAGTATCAAGATGTCAACTGTGATGTGTGAATGGCTCATAAATGTCAAATTATTTAAAAATGTATACTTCTTTTGATATTTTTGCAAATAATTTGTAGTGTATCTCAATTCAAACTTTCCATAAATAAAGGTACATCAAGACAGATAATATAATGTTCTTATACGAAGCACTTTTTTTATTATATAAAAGAGAGGTAGGATATGGTTTTTTGTAGATAATTTTAATTGTACGATTTTGGATTACATATTCAACCAGCGAATTGTAAATAATAATTAGTAATCTCCTAGTCATAAATTTCCTCAATTCATAAAATTTAAAAATGAATCTTCTTACCTTGGAATTTTAATGACGTAATGTGATCAACCCATTTCAAATTTTGATCAATTATGATACCGATGTATTTTGTTGTGTTTTTCATTTTAATTAGAAAGATTTTTATTTGTATGTTGAAAGAAGGCCTTTGTAAATTACATTGCTTTCTATGGATCTACTTTAACACAAAAATAGTTTTGTGGCTATAAGTTGCTATAACCTATCGTCGCAAAATTATTAATAATTTAAACATAATAAGTAGTAGTATTAATATAACATCAAGTAATTTTTTTAAATAAAGTACATGATCTCAAAACAGAATTAATTTATAATAAATGCGGGTAAAACGAGGGGTAAAATAACAATAAATTAAGGGAAATACTTAAAAAGGGCAGGTTTAAAGAGTATTATTACAAGAAAGTATATCCGTTCTGTTTATTTATCAAGTATTGTTTGAGGTTACTTTTGAATACATTTATTGTTGTTTTTTTTTTTAATTTCTGTAGGCAGTCTATTAAATTTTTTAAACCTTTAATAAAAATTGTATTTTGGGAACTTTTAGTGATGGCTTGCCCGTACATGAGTCAGATTGGCTTCTTGTATCATAGTTGTGGTATTGCGAATTATATTGCATTTTTTCTAATAGATCTGATGCGATGGTACTATGTCATTTTTATTTTATAAATAAATATCAGTCATGTACTGAACATAATTCTGAACTGAAAGCCAATTTATTTTTTTAAACATAGTTGCAATACTCTTCCTTTTGTCCTTTATTAATAAAATATAAATAGGCAAAGTAAGTATCCCAAATATTTTACATGAGCAGGCTTAAGAGGTAAAGGGGCCAATTATTATTAGATAAATTGCCCGAACAAGTTTTTAAACCCTAATCAAACGGCGATATAGATTGGTTTTAAAAATCAATGCTTGTGAAAATCATCACATGGTTTAACCTGGGTAATGCCAAACCAAAAAATTCAACGTCCTAATACTACTATCGGCTTTCAGTCTTTCGTTCCAAGTTAAATCATTTCTCGTTTTTGTTACTCCACGAGTTTACCGTTGTGGGGCTCAGTCTCGATAAGGTAGGAACCACCATTTTAGCGTCTCTCGAATTACAAAAGAGAATCGACAAGCTAAACTCAAACAAAAACATTTTTTAGGGCATATTAAACAATATTTCATTTGTAATCAAAACTTAATATATTTTTTTTAATTTTTATTACTAAAATCACGATAATAAAGAATCCAAAACAGCTAATTTTGAATTATAAATTAATAAACATGTCGGAAACTATCTAATATTATTAATTACATGACTAAATTAGTATTGAAAACATGTAAGTATTTATTGTATTTTACGAGAATCCAATAGTGTGAATTTACATTTTTGTAACCTTGTATATAGTAGAAAGAAACGACCTAAGACACGTACCCTGAAATCTTAAGAATTCTTACTGCGTACTAGGAACTACATTATAAAATTCCCAACTGTAAATACTGGTAGAAATTTCCAATAATTTACGAACAAAGTAATTTTCACTTAACATTCTTAAAAACAATAACATCACACCGAACTAGATGCGTTTCTCAAACCTATTTCGTGGATAAACCGTTACGAACCCATTACCGCTTTTTACCAATGTCTGATACAAATACCCAATACATTAGCACCCAATAAGCTCTTCATTAGTTTAAACAAATTGACCATAACATTGTTTCCTCATTGTCCTCCAGACAATAGCTTGTTGTTGCAAGAATAACACTGGTTCATTAGTATGTTTAGTTGAAAACCGCTTCAGGTTCACCCAGTAGCGTAGGTTGAAGAAAACCGAAGATACTTGGTACTACCTTCAACTCTGTATAGCGCACTTTGCCAATTCTGATATAAAATGTGAATAATAACGCTCAAATGGTACGCGTGAACACAGTAATTTCAATTTGACAGTTCGGATATGGCAACCCTGTGGGCCTGTTGTCATTGACCATTAATCCCATTAATCATTATCGGTCTAGCAAAAATGTGTTTACAAAACAAGGTAATTTTGTAGACCAGTGTCCTACTAATGCGCATGTCTGCGCCATTGTTGCTCCAACAATCAGAATAGTTTTATAGTTGCCAGGGTTATATAGTGATATTAAATCTAGGAAAAAGAAAACTGAATCATCGAAGATGCTGTCAAACATTTAGGGGGCAAGGAAAATTTTTAGAAATAAAAAAAGTACTTTAATTATGGATTATTTTGAATTATTTTTTTTTGTGATAATATTGTACTTGTGCTCATTAATAAAAAATAAAAAAAATGTCAAAACAAGAATGGACGTATGGAAACGCGGTAGGTGTAAAATTGAAATCCTAAACATCAGTGCACGGTGGCGTGAACATGCGCATTAGTATGACAACTAAGCTTCAAAAATACCCAAACGCATTTTCTGCCTTTGAATATACTCGTAGTAAAAAAAATAATTATCTACATTTTTACTTTAAGACAACTTATGTTTATTTTAAAAAAACCTGGATGATCAATGATCAATCTATGCAACTATCTATTTCAGGGTTGTCATAATGTTGCCATATCTTAACCTGTCAAAACCCACTGGTAGTGATTTTGTTTGGAATGCATAATTCTGTTCCAAATTTTGTTATTGACAACTTAGATTACATTAGATTAGAATAGGAGTTAGACGTTATTTGTCCTTGTCCACCGCGACCTTTTCAGATCTATTGTGGGACTCCGTTTGTTTTATAGTATGTCGTCTAGCCTGATCTTTTTTATTAGACTTAGTAGCTTTGACAGTGGCTCCCGCATGTAATTGCATGCATTTGGCTTTTCTTCGCCCAATGTTAGGAACCTCATTCCAGCTAGGTCTTCACATTGGCACAGGACGTGGAATGATGTTTCTTCTTCTTCTTCTTCTTCTTCTTCAGAGAACCTGTACAAAGTTGCTTCTTCTGCTGGATTGATGACACTCATGTGCCTTTTGAGGCGACAGTGTCCAGTAAGAAGGCCTACTGTTATCCTAACGGTTTGACGCTTTTGATCCAGTAGGTCTTTCGTGAACTTGGCCGATGGTTCCTTGATGAACTGTTTGGCGTGTCTCAGTCTTGGATAGTTGTTCCACCATTCCTGAGACTCTTTTTTGCATCCATTGATTAATGGATGCCTTGCACAATGCCTTAGCAACGCCACAGAAGTGTTCGGGGCCTGTCATGGCCTTATCTGAGCCTTCTCGGGCTAATTTGTCGGCCTTTTCGTTGCCCTGATATCCCTCATGGCCTGGAACCCAGTCTACGGTCACCTTATGTCGACTAGTTAGCTCTGCGAGGTCTTCTAGACAGTCTTTCACCAGTCGTGATTTGATTTCTGGCGAGAGAATTGCCTTTAGAGCTGCTTGGCTATCAGAGTATATGGCAATAGTTTTGCCTGATACCAGCTGATTTAATATTTCTCTTGCACAGTGTTGTATGGCTGTTATCTCAGCCTGCAACACTGTTGTATATTTTCCTAAACTCAGCGAAATCGTTGTTTTCGACTTGGGTCCATAGATTCCAGCACCGACTCCTTCCTGTGTACCAGACGAGTTCAGCCTGTACGGGAGGTGCCTGTTTCTAGGATTCTCGGGCTGGTATTTGAATTTGAAAATTTCTTTCAAATTTGTCAACTTTGACAACTTTGTTTTCAGTTACAAAATTGTCGCTAAGCCTCCTTGAAATTGGATATCTGTAACTTGATTAGTCCTTGACGCAAAGGACGAAAGAAGCATTTAGTTTAATCGCACTTTGAGATGTTTTATTTCATTGAAAATATATTGGAATCAGGATAATAAAAGTAATAATAGTTTATAAAATTTAAGCAATTCTTTATGAGGACCTAATTACTAAAAGACTACAGAGAAATGAGGCCTAGATTTTATCAAGATCTGTCTATAGGTGTTAATAAAGCCATGAATTATTCACAAAAGGAGTTGGCTTGCTTTTGATTAACTTTTGTCTCTTGATTCCAATTACATATCTTTAGTTTTTTATGTCCATCCAACATTTAATAGTTTTTATCTTCCTTTTCTACTCTCTTTCTTCCCAATAATGTTGTCCATTCAAGATATTATATCTTAAATACACCTACATTGTTGGTATCTATTCTGAAATATAGGGATATATTGTTTTTATTTTCTTCATACACTCCTCTTAAACTGTAAAGCATTTACCAAACTCGTAATATTTCCTCTTGTATATAAATTGTTATTTACAGCTCTTGTTATGAAACATACTATTTGTGGATGACGTCAAGGGGAAGAGAACGTGCCAATATGAAACTTTAATGCCGCATAATTTTCAAATGCATACTTTCATATCTTATAATTTTCATACATAATTTATAAAAGGTTTTAGTTTCTGATTGACACATCCTCTTCCGATTATCCTCATCCCCAATCTTACTGTTGATGGACTAAAAGGCTTATTTTCGAAGTACTTATAAGATAAGTTTTTTTTTTTAACCTAAGACGTTTTATTAAATATTCGTCGTCACTGTTTAGATAATGCACTTTTTCTTTCTTGTTGTAATTAATTTCTTTGCAATCTTAAACATGTTTTTCATGCGAGCTGTTGAATATTCATTAGTTAATTACTGAGACCTGGAATTAATGAAATTTTGTACTTATTATATAACATTTTTAGTTTAGATCTATTATTGTTGGACTGAGTTGAGAAATAAATCCCTTACTGAATATATGGGAAAAAATCTATCCCACATATAATTTTCATAAAAACGGCAACTGGTTTCGGCTTGAGAGCAATTTTCAAGCAAATAATAAAATTTTACAGTTAACGAAGATGATAAAGTAAATATGTACAAACCTAGAATGCACTTATAATGAATAGTGCATTCCTTAATATACCTGTTGTCTGTAATCATTAGAAATCACCTAATATCTTAGGTTTGTATTGTTAACTTTTAGCATCTCTGTTGACTGTTAACTTTTATTACGGGCTTGAAAATGGCTCCTTGGCCGAAACCGGTCGCCGTTTTTAGTTCAAGATATTAAAACTGTCTATTTAATAAATAAACAATGACTAAAAGATTATATGCGATGTAATTTATAGATAAATTACCATATTTTGTAACGCCACTGTATTTATGCCTTTTGCCTGCCAACCTACGGTTAAAAAAACAAATGATTATGGACATTGGTGGTATATTCTTGTTGATAACAAAGAATGTGCATCGAGATTTTTATAAATGTCGCATACGCAAATAATATGGACAAAGCATATTGTTTAACTGACGATGTCGTCCCCCACGTTTGTGTCTAGAATGTACATTGTCTGGATTGTTATTATTATCCTTATCTTTTATTTTTATGACATAAAATGATTGTGAATAAAACCGTTTCATTGTAAAATCAAAGACGTTTTCAAGGTGTGTTTATAAAAATATGAAATACAAAAAGAACCACGAAAAAATATATACAATTTTTAACTTCATAAGACGTTATTTTGTGCACACCTTATTTATTTAAAAACGTTACTTAGATTTCACATTATCTGTGAATTTTTACACTTAGAATGATTGGAAATGACTTTAAGATCTTATCTATTTTCTGTCTAGCATTTCCGTAGATTTATCATTATCTTTATAGATAATCTATTAACCTAATTTAGTAATATTGACAACAGTTATTTTAGTTTCTAATACAAATAAAAATAGAGTTATCACAATTTGATAAATGATATATTTAAACTAAAAATCCCACCAAATTACACAGTAAATATGTCGATATTTAAACTAATAATCTTACCTATTTATTATTTACAATATCGTTCTAATATTTTGTTTTTGTTACAGAAGCCAATCAAAGGCATCCTACCTGACGACAGCCCGTCGTGATCGGGATAGAATCATCCCAGAATCAGAAACTGGCAGCTATAAAAGGACCATGTCGCCCAACGGCCATGCTCTTCCCCCAGAAACAATCAACGAATCTCAAAAAGTAAACCACAGAGAAACGATTTGGCCATCCCACAGGCCAGTCAAGAACAACAGCATCTTGAGAAGAGCCTCTATGAACGACAAAAACATAGAAAAATGTGATGACAAAGAAGACTTAAAAAAATCGTTGGTTTTACCAGATGTTCTGCCTGTTAATGTGAAGCTAATGGGGCCTAGATCTCAATACAACAGGCCTCCGCAGCTGAGTCTTGTATCTGACAGCGAGTCTAGTGTTATTTCGCCAAAGTCTCCGGTAAAATCACCTCCTTCTTCACCGCCAAAGAGTCCTTCTAGGAATTCTCCGTTTACGCCATTACGTACAACGACATACTCTACGACGACAGTATCTTCTTCAAGTATTGTTACATCTTCTCCTATCACTACTCTCCCTGCCACTAGATTTTCTATTAGTTCAGTTGGTTCTACTAATAGTATAAGGACTTTACCGGCCACTCTACCCAGGGCCAACGTTAGTCCTAGTAGAGACTCCAAACCTAGTTTTACACCTCCACACTCTCCAAAGCGATCATCCCCTTGTACACCTAAATCTCCAAGGAGGAATTCCCCTCCTATTAAACCATCTTTATCTCCCAGTTCTACTATGAAACTTTCTCCTGTTAAGACTTCTTCCCCAATTCATAGTACATCTTTACCACCTTCTCCCCTTAGTATATCCTCGTCTACAAATACTCCTTCACCTCCTGGTTCTACAACGCCCATACTAAAAGAGGAATATCCTAAAGTAATCGAAGGATTACAGTTAATTCAAAGGACTGAAGTCGTTCTGAGGGTTAACACTACTACAACGGATGCAGCTTCTCAAACCGAGAAAGAAGAATTACCCCCAACGCCTTTGCCCGTACGGAAGAAATTGAAAGAAGAAATCGAGTGTGAACAATTAGCAGAAGATCTTGTAGATCACTTGCCTAGTTCTGATAGGCTGAAGGGGCTTTTAGGTATGTTTTTATGTCCTTAATTCTAATATTCTTAAATTAATGAAAACACTATTAACTAATAAGTGAATCATTTCCTTTTATGAAACTGAATAACATTTTTTCTTTTTCAGTGCCTCTGCCTGAATATAAGAAACCGACAGATTACGTACAGGGGTTGTTCCGTGTAGAAGCAACTACAAAGCCTAGATCTCTTAACTCCCCCTTCCGAAGTAAAAACAACACACCAAGTAGTACGCCCCCGCCTACGTTAATGATTCCTGTTAATACTTCAGCTACAATGACAGCAACCACCCGACTGAGGTAAGTGAAGGTATTTTTGATATCTGAACTGAAAATGACAGATGTTACGAGTTGCATAAATAGTACTCTCACTTACTACCGGCTTCCAAATCTCAGCTATGTTCATCCGCTTAATCTCGACATGAGAAGACAAGGAACCCCAGTTCGAGGGTACAAGAACACCGTGTCCTCACTGCAGCTCTCTCGATACACGATGAAAGAAAGTTGCAGATTGTTTTTTCAAATGAAACTAATAGCTATATTTTTTTTTAGTTTATCGCCTGCTTCGCCAACTTCTCCTACACCTTCGATACCATCAATAGAACCTACAAGTCCTCTGTCAGGTTCTTCAACGTACTTCACCACCTCCGAAGCCAAGGCTAAACTTCTTACAAGGTATAGCCAGGATATGAAAAATTGTGTTATCGTCAAAAATACCAAAGATCTTAGTCAAAAGAAGGTAAGAACAATATCCAATTAATCAGGTTCAGTGCCAAGATAGTTGCAATCCTTCTTTAGATACAATATTATCTTTAATTAAACTTACACGATATATTTTATCTTTGCAGGAAGAATTGGTTAGTCGTTTAGATAAAAAACTTGAAGTGCTCCGAGGTGAGCAGTTCATAGTGAACGACGAATGCAAAATAAATGACGAGCTCGGAGAAAATGTAGAAATACATATCAACAGGGTGGCCAGACCCCAAGAGGTTGCCAAATTTAGGCTCCATGTAGAAGAGGTTGGGAAAATCACAAGTCTGCTACTAAGTCTATCGGGAAGATTAGCCAGAGCCGAGAATGCCCTAATGAGCATGGAAGAAGGTGATCCAGAGAAGGTAAGAACAATATGTTGCTTAATTAAAAGAGATTATATTTCTCACAAAAATAATTCTATATACATCTTGTTTTCTTAATTCTCTGTTTGTTAATTGCTCCTACCTCTTTTTAATTGCTTTTTCATATGTTCAAATTGATATAATTTAAAACCCATAGTAATAAAATGGTTCATCTTAAAATTTGTTACCTAAAATGTTCAATATCTTCTAATGTTTAAACAACACTACACAATAACCTTTCTTACCTCGAGAATGTTATACTATGCTTTCTATATATTGTTTACTAAACTAGTGTACCCTTATCAATCTTTTACAAAATTAAATGAATGTTGTCAAAATTATTCCTGATATTCGCTATTTTGGTTTCTTTGGGTTTTGAAAATTGTACCATTTCCGTTCACATCTGACCCCCAGCAGTGGCATATATTTAAAGTTTCGTTTTATTTCCACATGTCCTACGTGGGGATTCATTAGGTATTGCTATGACTAAGACCACAATAACAAAAAAAAAACTCTTTTGTCACTTTTCTACCAAGGTATAACATGTCGATTTTCTGAGTTAAGGAAGTAACAACATTTAAGCTGTCCTTAATCTATTAATTATTTTTTTGAAGATTAATAAGATATTTGTGTCAAATATAACCTCATTAACTCCTCTTCTGGTAGGAGTTCTACCTCTAAACAGTACATTATTATGGTTTGTGTCTGATTCTCAATTAATATCGTTAGTAGGTATATAATAATGTTATTAATGGATAATATAGCAATGCAAATTATTTTCTTCAACAATTTTAATCCAGTTCAACTCTTGTTTTTGTAAGATGCCCTTTTCATCTTAGTTCAGTAGTGCTCAATACTCTCGCTTTTATTTATATTTTGACTTAAACTAAAAAAGGTCTTTTTTTTTTCAGAGGATATTAGAAGCCAAACGAGACAAACTCTTGGACCAACTGGAGGAAGCGAAAAAATTGAAGGAGAGCATCGACCGAAGAAGCATCAACGTTTCGAATATTCTGTACAAATACCTTAATTCCGAGGAGTACGCAGACTATGATCATTTCATTAATATGAAAGCCAAATTATTAATGGACTCGAAAGAAATCTCAGATAAAATAAAATTAGGCGAAGAACAATTGATAGCGCTTAAGGACACCCTTATAATCACAGACTGATTTGTGTGTATATATAAAACAGAAATGTATATGAGTTAATTCCGTCTTTCAAAATTCAATTGACATACTTTTTAGAATCTTATTTTTCATTCTAGGGTTTTAGAATAATCAAAATTATTATTGTATCACATTAACGTACATGAATGTTTCTTAAAAATTTAGGGTCACTCTAATGGAGTTATTAAAGGTTTGGTAGCAAAACGAATAAAATTAAGAATTCTAAACTTGTCAATTGGCATTTAGGTCTTACGGAATTAAGTCATTTTATTGTATAAGTGTAAAAAATTGCTTCTATTATTATATTGTTTCGTAATATTCGAGTTTTATCGAATAACTAGTCCAGTGACATATTTTTATAAAACTTTACTTGGAGTTCGTTAGGGTAAAGTACGCAAATATTGTTTATTATTGAATTATTATTATTTTATGTCCTTTTATATGATAAATAATTATCATTTGGCCATTTTAGAAAACACACATTTGTACACTTTTAAAAAGTAAAGTGAACTTTTAACTTCCGAAAAAAAGACTGTATAAAGTGGTTCGTAAATTGAAAATCAAATCCTTTTTGAAATTGTAAACCTTGTACATAATAATTGTCTTCTACTTGCGTGTAGCAGACATAAATTTTTCTGAAATGGCCGAACATTTTTTTCGAAACAATTCAGGTTTTTTCAAATGTTCAACAACTAATATTTGAAAAGACCAAATCGTAGGGTGTACCTCGCAACATTGAGAAAATATAAGAGCTTGTACTGGTAGAATTTGGCGGCTTTAAGCCAAGAGGTCACCTCTTACCATTTTATGAAATGGATAAGATGGTCGTACCCCAGCAGATTTAGGGCTGTTATTATTAGTTTAGTGGGTGATTAAGTCCATAGGCGAGGTTATCTCTTGAATGATAAATATGTTTGTGGTATAGTACCCAAAATATATTGTTTCTTTAAGTCATATATAATCTTGAACTGCTTTTAAACGTGATCATTGCTTACTTTTGGTTGGAGTATTTGTTACAATAAAAATATTTAAAATAGGGACAAGTTTGGGGAATTTAAATTTATTTTGAGAGACGAACTTTTGCCTAAAGACGAACTCGTCCCTAAACAATTATGTGCATTTTTCATGTTTAGTTAGCGTATTTTAAGTGCAAATACTGGGATATTGTATAAGAAAGGTTTCATTAGGCCATTGTATCCCTTAAAGTATTTATTTTTTGTTTTTATTTGTTATTATTCGGCTGAAATCGAACCTATCTTATACTACGTTCCGTAACATCTTCCTACCAAGTATTTAATATATTCTTAGATTTTAAATAGGTCAAAATTTGTTAGGAATTTGACTTGAGTGAGCCGATTTCTTGTAAATATAATGAATAATGAAAAACGAATATTATGGTGCTCTGGAACTTGTAATATTGTAATATCCATAAGTTGTTACATTGTGATTTACTAGTGTTGAAACCAGTCGTATGTATTTTCTTACATATTTTTAATTTATCGATATAAGACCATTTAATTTCGATTTGAACAGACTATCTCTGAGCTTTACGCAGTGCTTGCAATAAATAACCCATCTTGAATAATTTTTGTCTTTTATTTAACCCATCCAAAATAACTGACGTACCTATGTTCCATATTCTATTTTAGTTCAAGTTTAATTAAACTTAGTATTTAACCATTTACTGCATGGTTTTTTTTTTTTCTCAAAAAAATATATGCGTTAGAATGACTGATTAGTGAAAAAAATATTTATCGATATTTAAAGGAAATAAATGTCAAACTTTGACTTGTGCCAAATTTGGCACAAAATTCGGAAATAAAACAAAAGTAATAAGTATAAATTCAAATTTATTTTTAAAAAATACATTTTATCTCAACAAAAGAGTGAAAATCTTGCCCTAGTCTAGTGGAATTTGCTCAAACAATTGTGATCCTTATTTAGACATAAAAATACTGAACATTTGCCATATAATATCTGAGATTTTCCGTTACAATCTGGATATTTGCACCTCTGTCGTTCTTCACTTACTCTTGGGAAATGCGAAAAAGGATATTTCTTTTTTTTTGAGATCCAGTTGAGGTTATAAGCTGGTACTTGATCTTCCCCTTTTTCTTTCTGATCTATAAGCCTGGTCAAAACTTCTGCGATACCAAGTTTGAATTCTGAAAGTGGTAGGTATAAATTATTATTTTTTAGGGTTCGCCTCCACAGTATCCAGATATTGACGCATATCATATCCAGGAAATGGAAAAATACCCTCATGTACCACTTTTTGGATCGAATTTGGATTCGGTAGTATCCTAACAGAATCGAGAAGATCTACTCCCCCCATATAAGCATTATATACCGCAACACATTGAGGGCGGGTGATTTCTATGTGTCCTAGATTTCCCGCAGAATCTGTTTACCATCGATACAGGCTGACTCCCAACATATGTTGACATGGTGTTCACAATTTTATTATCAAACCATGAAACGACAGATATATCCACACCCTCTACATTGGCCACTGCTTCAATAATTGTACCTCTACCTTTTATTCATAGCTGCTTCCTTAGGGATTTCGAAATTATGGACACGATTTCCTCTTACTGTCCCCAAAGGTAAAATACCATTTTTGATGAGGTATATTTGTAGAGGAATGCTTTTAAACCAGTTATCAAAAAATAATTTGTAGTTAAGTCGAAATCGTAAGAAAATCCAGACACCCCACTTATAACAAAAACCTTGTAGGCCCATTTATGAGGTTTCTTGGGATTATATTGTTTGAGACTTGATCGACCTTTTGTCGGAATAATTTGTTCATCCACGGCCATATGATCCTCTTTAGGAACAAGTAAGAAACGTTCACGAATTTTGTTTAGCAATGAACGTATCTTGAAAAGCTTATCATAACCTGGCTGCTCTTGAGGAACCTGGCGTGTGTTGTCATTAAAGTGAAGAAATCGTCTGATTTCTTCAAATCTATTGCAGGTCATAACACGTGAGATGCAGGGAATATCTACCCAGACAACACACCAAATCCCAGAGATATCCACAGAATATCTATTGTGAATATCCAATATATCCACAGGATATCAGAATTATCCCGTGGATCTAATATGGATATCCAAATGTCCGTCTATATCCAGAATATAGAAGATATCAAATGTATATCCAACAAAATATCTAATGGGTATCTTCCAGACAATACAAGAAATCCCAGATATATCCAGAGAATATATTTTGTGGATATCCAATATATCCAGTGGATCTAATATGGATATCCAAATGTCCGTCTATATCCCAGGATATAGATGATATTCGGATATTCAGCAAAATATTTTATGGGTATCTTTAGTAGAGGTTCATAAGTAACCAATGATTATTGAATAACGTCGAAAGAAAATAGCAGAGATAAAAAATATTTTCCACACTCTGCCTTTGATTTTGCCCACTAAAGGAGAAAGTCTTCCTTATTAGGACTCTTCAGCAATAAGTGGAAATTCTCGACTCCACCCAGACAACACACCAAATCCCAGAGATATCCACAGAATATATTTTGTGGATATCCAATATATCCACAGGATATCAGAAATATTCCGTGGAACTAATATGGATATCCAAATGTCCGTCTATATCCAGAATATAGAAGATATCCTATTGATATTCAGCAAAATATCTAATGAGTATCTCCAGACAATACAAGAAATCCCAGATATATCCATAGAATATATTTTGTGGATATCCAACCAAATGTCCGTCTATATCCCAGGATATAGAAATTCAGATAAATATTTTATAATTATTTTTAGTAGAGGTTCATAAGTAAGCAATTGTTATTGAATAACGTCGAAAGAAAATAGAGGTAAAAAATATTCCCAACAATCTGCCTTTGATTTTGCCTACTATGGAGAAAATCATCCTTATTAGGAATCTTCAGCAATAAATGGAACTTCTCGACTTCACTCTCTAATGAAGTCTGTTTGTGAAACAATGTCGATCAAACTCAATTACGGCGGGTTAAGCATGAGTAGATACGAAAGTGGTATCGCCATCTATACTTAGGAAGCAAAATCAAAAATTACATCTAGTAGATATCCACAATGGTTTGCGTCCGCGCTTAGACTTTGATATATTTATATTTATAGTGGATGTCCATGGGATATTGAATACACCTTAAAAAAAAATAATTTTAAATATCTCAACGGTACTATTAGCCACAATGGCGAGTACAATGGCGTAATTTTTTAATAATTTGCTATATAATTACAATTATTTATGGACATTTGCATGTCTATAAATTACATTTCATGGATATAAAATAGATATCCACCATGGACTGGACATTCAGTGGATATTGGGATGTTCAGTAGATATCCAAAGGATTTGGTATGCTGTCTGGGCAGTCTCTAATGGAGTCTGATTGGGACACCAATTTCGATCGAACTCAATTACGGCGGGTTGAGCATGAGTAGATATATAATAGTATCGCCATCTATACTTAGCAAGCAAAATCAAAAATTACATCTAGTAGATATCCACCATGGTTTGCGTTCGCGCCTAGACTTTGACATATTTAGTAGATGTCCACGGGATATTGAATACACCTTAAAAAAATTTAATTTTAGATATCTGAACGGTACTATTAGCCACAATGGCGAGCACAATGGCGTAATTTTTTAATGATTTGCTATATAATTACTATTATTTATGGACATTTGCATGTCCATAAATTACATCTCATGGATAAAAAATAGATATCCACCATGGACTGGACATTCAGTGGATATTGGAGTGTCCAGTCGATATCCAAAGGATTTGGTGTGCTGTCTGGGTAACGATTGGTTCCAGTAGGACCTGGTTAAAGGGAGTTGAATAATTGACATGTATATGTAAATACCGCAAAAAATGCGAAGTTCTTTGGATATATTGGGCGGTTTTTCAGGCCTACAAAAAAGTAAAAATTTCGTCGGTGAAAAAAAAAATTGAAAAACTGAATGGGATCTTCGAGTTCTTGT